CCTTTTCCCTATTGAGTATATACTCATAAAATCCTTTCTAGAAAGAAATTCCACTGTGTTCAACTAAGAGTTAACATAGCAGGCTGGAGACTGCTATTTTTAAAAAGGTTGGCTTGCAAGTTTGGCCCCTGGCTGATGTCTGGGAACATCAATTCTAGGAGGTTTCCCAATATTGCCTGATAAAGAATAACTTACTGTGCCTAAACTGTACAAACAACATGGTTTATGCTGAATACCTGCTTTTCTTTTGCTGTTGTCAAGTGCTGTCAAGTCAGTCCTGTATAGGGTTTCTGAGGAGTGGTGGTGGGTTTGAACTAGCAACTTTGCAGTTAGAAGTCCAGTGCTTATCCTAAAGTACCACTGCAGGACTGTTTTTCTTCTAGGAGTCTAGGATTTTGGTATGTGCTAGGCAAAGAGTGCCTATGTGACCAGCCCCTAATAAAAACCCTGAGCACTGAGTTTTTCATACGCTTCCCAGGTAGGCAACATTTCATATCTGCTGTCACAATTAATTTCCAGAGAAATTAAGAGTATTTTGTGTAAGTAACTCCACTGAAAGAAAGCTTTTGAAAGCTTGCACCTAATTTCCTCTGATTTGTGCTTCATGTATCTCTTCCCTTGGCTGATTTTGATTTGCATCCTTTTGCCCTAATAAATCAGAGTTGTGAGTATATCTGAACACAAAATCCCTTGAATTCTTCCAGCAAATGGTCAAATCTGGGGATGGTCTTGGGAACCAACACACACTCTAAAGGAGTAGCACTGTAGCTAATGTGCTGGACTGTAAAGTTGTCTGAACCACAAGGTCGGTTCAAACTCACCACCTGCTTGGAAACAGTATACAGGGTTGCTATGCGTTGGTAACAACACGACAGCACTTAACAATAACGACCCAATTTGTGAGTTAATCCATTCCTATGAAGAAGGTGCAACAGACATGGTCCTATCCTACACTTGGACAAGTGAGGCAAGGTCCACTGACCAGCCCAAGGACACATGGCAAAGTAGCAGCATCCCAGGGTGGAGCTTGAGTGTCCTGATGTCAAGTCCTAATTCAGTGCTCTTCACCTCGCTCCTACTTCAACTGGGAGGTGGACTGGTGTTGGTGTTGGTGGTGGTAGCAAGATAAGATAGGTAAGATAACCAGGATGTTGTTGTTAGTTTTCATCAAGTGAACTCTGATTCATGGTGCTGAGTAGGATGGCTCCAGAGGAATTCCAAGGCTGTGACCACAATGTCAGCAGTTCGAACTTGACAGTTGTTTCACAAGAGAAGGTTGACGTTATCTGCTACCAGGATGATGTTCAGTCTCAGAAACCCTACACAGCATCATTGAGTCCACATTGACTCAATGGCATGGGTTAGTGGTTGGGGATGCAGATGGTCAAGCCTGTCTTCCATGGAACCTCTGGGTGGGTTAGAACTGCTAATCTTCCAGCTAGTACTTCCAGCTTAAACATTTGTGCCACCTAGGGACTGCATGATAACCATAATGAGTGCCCTTATTAGAAAGCCCCCCAAACACTGTATTCATTGTCTAATTTAAT